CGTATATTAGTAAGTATATTAAATAAAACATATTATATGGTATTCACTGGGCGCACGGTAATTGATGCCAACCAGATTGGGAATTATGTATATATACCAACGATATTGCATGTTCAAATGGTTTAACTGACGGTCGTTAACTTTATTCTAATACCCGTGTAGCCAGTTTGATTTTAAAAATAAAATGTTTTCGATTCATTTCTAAATTTATTATAATAATATATGTTTTATAATATCCCGATCGACGACCATATTGAATATAATATTATATTATATTAAAATCACTCGGAATCGAATATTCCCGAATCCATTACATCGTATACCTACTCATATAGTTGTAAAGTATTATTTGTTCATCGATTCCATCGTTCGTATCCAAAGGTTTAGCTTCTCAGCGGAATATATAGTTACATACAATTACGACAATACAAAATGTATAATATTGCAGCGTCGAAGCGAATACAATTTACACAGAAATATGATCGGAAAATGTTGCACTCGGCCAAAGTTGCATGAACCCTCGACAGTGGACAGAAAATAGAGGGGGTGGTTTGGGATTTTAGCGCAAGACATATTTCATGTCTATACTTTGTTGGCAACAATCGGCTACAAAGCTCGCGAGCGTGTACGTGTATGCGTATATATATATGTAATTTCGATACCTACCTATACTCACACAAACACTCACACTCATTCACACACTCACAGACATATAAATACAAAGGCACACATCATGACATGTACTTGTTTACGGTGGCCGGCGACACAACGTTTTCGACTGTTGCGTGACCATTGTGCGAAACACGCGAATATAAATACAAACTCTATGCCGCCGCCGCCACCGTTGCAAGACATTGTGTATAATATACGTATATAGGTGTAGTATCATAATATACTGCGCACATTCACACACCCGGGCATACACGCACACACACAAAATTCACACTCACGCACACGCGGGTGCAGTGAAAAGAATCTTTGGTTCAATTATATCCCGTTGGGTGGGGGGGGGTGAAGTTTGTGCCCTCTCCTCTTCGCCGTTCAAATAGTATAGGTTAGGTATACACCATGGTACGCATGTAAGCATATTATTATTATATTGTACTTTATAATGTGTGTTTACAGTTTATCGAACAAACAAAATAAATATAGGTACTCAGCGGCCAACACGCACGTCTAATACACACCGCGTGTCTGTATTGCGAAAATCCGCGACATGTACGACCGACTATACGCAGTATATTATAGTAAGCACTATATTGTAGTTGGAGAAAAGAACATAAGAACATAGGAACCATCACGAATAAAAACGGTTAACTCGATAATTACGGTTTTTAATTTTTTTTTTTTTTTTTGATGACGACGATGACGCCCATATGTTGTTTGTGCATTTATTATTAACTTGTAACATTATGTTTTTTTTTTTACGCGTATTCATTAATTTCCAGACGAATAAGACATTTCGTATAAATACGTTTCGAACTTTGAACCGCGGACGGGCAGGGAGCACGCGCGCACGCTCGCTCGGAGACTCGTGTGAAAAGGAGAAAACAAAAAAACGGCAACCAAGCGAGGCGACAGCGTGTTTTCATAAACGAATAAACGATTGTGTCGATTCACCACCGGGTGACGTCGTTGTCGATGACGACCGGCTATTACGGTTTATTAGAAAAATAAAAAATAAATAATAAAAAAATGAGTCGTCGTCGCGGCGGACCCTTCCGGACCAATTAAAAGTTAAAAAAAAATAAAGTCGACAACAAAAGCCGGCCGTGTCGTCGCCCCCGCGATCGCCGTCCCGCAGGTGAAAACACTCGTCGATTTAACCCTTTTTTCACGTCGCCAATGTAAATAAAGTACGACGTTCGAAACGACGATCACACAAAACGTGTGTGTGCGCGCGTCTACCTGAAAAGGCTTTTCAAAGAAAAACTAACACGCGGGCAGCGGTATACCTACCATGTAATTTCTTATATTTTATTTTATTTTTTTTGTTCCGTACATATTAGACAATAAACGCACACGCATAGCACACGTCGCGGTGGGAACCGAACGGGTTTAATTGCACACATACACACACACACACACAATCACGTTAATAACATTCGAATTAAAAATATATTGCATAATATAATATATACATGGCCAGCACGTAGTAAGTTTATATACATACGACCGCTGCAGCAGCGGTTGTTTACACACGCGCGCGCGCGAGCGGAGGTCTTGAAGAGCTCGCCGGACGTCCCGCGGTATACCTCTACTATACTTTCTGCACCGCAGGAGTGGGTTCCGATGGCCGTGCCTAGGGGATATTATATTATTTTACAATCGATACGGTTTGTTTAAATTAAAAATAATAATAATATAACAACCGTCGTAATGAGGGGAAATGAGGGGAATGTGTCATTGGGGGGGTTATAACACAAATATATATATATATTTATGTACATGTAAGTATAAACGAGAGACCACATTACAGAGTATATATATACGTGTGTGTCCAATTAACGATAACGAGCGAGAAGAACAACAAACGTTCGTATTGTCCGAACGGGACTACTGGCGCACGTATACTTATAACTATCGGTGTGGACCACGTGGGGGAAGAGGGCACTCTGTTGGCTACTGTGAATGCGTGTGCATACGTATGTACACACATAATAATAATATACTACCATTGCACCGCTACACGCAGTGCTTTGTCAATTGAACCGTAATATAATGGAATTAAACAATAATATTAATAAAAAAAAATAACCGTGCGGAATAAAAAACAACGGACTGAATATTATTATATTATTCGGGTGACAGGAAACGCACTGTTGATACATTTTAAGTGCGTCTATCCTGTGTGTGTGAGAAAAAGGTCCCACTTTTGTTTTCTGTTTTCATTTTACGCGCGACTCGTATGTACACACGCGTACCTATATATACTTATTATTACAATACTTTATACAATATGTAGGTACATATTATATAATTATTTATATTGTTATAGAATTATTAATTATTGTTGTCCGACGTGTTATTACATTATTATGATATAGTCGTCATCGCAGACGGAAGCTGTAGTATATACTCGAAGTAAGTACTTGTAAATACACAACGGTGAGCGGTGGACAATTTTCAAAGGGGTGGTAATTTTCATTTTTACTTTAACGGACCTTTTTAAAACTTTTTCGCGGAAATCCGACGCTCAAAAGACAGTGTCCGATGTCTTTTGACGCGCTGCACCGGTGACAGCCGCGAGACACAACGCTAACACGGTAACGCGGTGATAACGGTAGCGGCGGTGACGGCAACCGTGCTTAACGAACCGTACACCGTTCTTAACGAAAGGAAAAAAGTCTTAATTACATAACACCGAGAAAAATGTCGTGTTATTTTTTTATTATATTTTTTTTTCATTCACTAGTTTTAAATTAAATTTGACGCTCCTCTCGCAAACGATTGAAGGAGAGATCAAGGGTGTGAAACAGACGGACGCGTGCGCACACACACACTGCACTAAACACTGGCTTTTAATCAGCGTGATTATAGATATTTTAATATGCATAAAACAAAACTGGAAAAAAATACTGGTTTTCGGGGCGCGCGAGGGAAAAATAAGTATCGTCAGTAGAAAAAAAAAAACAAAATAATACACGGAGCAACAACGCAATGTTACAAACTAAATACGAACATAATGGGCATGCACGGGAGTGTTCTCCTTTTGTCGGATGATTGATCGCCGAACAGCTGCGGCCGAATAAAAATATTGTAACGATATCTATACAATATAATATATTTTATATTATAAAGACGAGGGAAACGGATGAGAACAACGCGCGTATAAGGTACGTTTTATAACACACTGAGAAACAGACGATAATGCCCACTTTTAGACGGTAAACAATATTATTATTATTCGAATGCGGGAGCCACAGCAAAGACCATTGGTGCAGTAATTCGGTTATTATTGTTAATTTTTTTCTTATTTTTTTTTAAATATCATACGAAATCGAACAAGTTTTTCGAAAACATTACTATAAGCAGTTAAGGTCAAACTTCATTTTTTTAAATTAAATAATTGTACTTATCTCTAATAATATATATATATAAGTACTACACATAGATGTATTTATATATTTAAACAAAAAATCTTTGTACCATATTCCACCGTGATCTTCAACTAATAATAGATGAGGAATTTCATATTTATATTAGCCGAAAATAGCGTAAATATATATTGTTGACATTATTATTATTTTGAAATATTCTGCTTACATGTTCATCATACGCATTGCAGCATCAGATTTGATAATGTTATAATCGTTCGTTGGTCGTTAAACTTGACCAAGTATAAAGTGGGTACCAGCCTACAAATGACGATTGTACGATCAGGATGGAATAAGCTATTATTCAGAAAATAAAAGTAAAAAAAAATTGTAACGGCAATTACCACGCGTGTACTACGAGTCTGATAATTAGTCATAATAAATAAAAACGTATTTGCCACGTGCTCATTAATTTAATATACACAACAGCATATCAGCCCACAACGTATGTCCTTATACTCACACGTACATAATATTATATACTGTATACTAACTTATAATAATTTATTAATCACTCATATACGAACGTTGATTAAATGATTTTCGTCTGTATATATATATATATATATATACTTTAAATTTTAAAATCACCGATTGAACACTGTTATTAAATTAATACATTATAAATAGAAAACAAATCGTATACGTGCTATGTACGCGTACGTCGTTCGTCATTACCAAGCGTTTGACTACGAAAGCGATCGTGATCCGAACGGTAAAAATCAAGTTGGAATTGAACATAATTTACCATAATTAAGAATTTAAAAACAGTTGTTAAACGGTTTTTAATACCGCGTTTGCGACCTCTGACCCACCCGCTCAACAAACGTGTGTTACCGGAAACATGTTTTTATTTTACGCTTAACCTGACTATTTGATTATTACTGTAAAGTATTAAATTACCTTGCAAATGTCCATTTTCGTAAACTCCGGCAACGTAGTCTCCATTTTCAAGACGGTGTTTCTTCAGCTGATGACTCAAATGTGAGGCCGACGCAGCCAGAGACAAGCCCACGGACGACGCTCTCTTTGGCGGTCTTCCGGGCCGAGAACTGTGAACAAGGGGAGAAAACAAACAAATGAGTAACGATTTTTAATAACATTGCAGCAAAAGTAAAATGAAAAGCAATCCTCATAAACCAATAGTAACTATACATTGTGATTTGCATACTGTATACATTATTCCAATGCACACGATCGTGTGAGCGAAAGAATAATGCGCAATTCTTCGTTCGATTAATATAGGGCCGCGCGTGCTGTGTGGAAATTGCATTTTTGTTTAAACACGACAGAAACGCTGTGCAAAAAAAGCGCTGTTTGTATTTACACACACGCACATACATCAGCATTGTACACGTATCTAAAACGAAAATACCTCGCGTTCTTATTAGATTTCGCGTGTATTTTTTTTATTTTCATTTCGTAATTCCACGAGCTCTCATTCAGTGTGTGGGTTCGTCGTCAGTGGAAAAAATAAAAACCCCCGAAAAACCATACGTGCGGTCCAAGTTATTGCACGGGATTATAATGGTTTTTAAAAAACGATTTCCGAGAACGAAAAAAACAAAACGCGAAAAGGGGAGACGGAACGTGCCGTGTTCTCGGGGATTTAATCTCGGCGTACGCGCACACACGCGCACGGATAAATAGATAGTATGTATATATAGCTATAGTATTTGCATCAAAAGTTCGGTCAGATAACGAAAACCGCCCTATCGCGGTGACGCGTATATATCGAACGTGTACGTTTTCGGGAGCAGAAAAAAATAAGTTCACCGACAGAAGACGCGACGACTACCCATGTCAATGATACGTATATATATATTACTATTACAAAGCAATATTTTGGTGATAAAATCACAGTGATGTGCGTATCATGTGTGTATTATACATTTATGGACTGAGTGACGTGCAAGTGCAGCGTGCAAATACCAAACGCTTAACGAATAGCCGTTTTTGTGTTTGTATTATTAACTATATCTATCTATTACTCCATAAATCATATATTATGTAACTGTCGACGGCGATATATTATAGATATTAGTATTTTCATTCCTTTGGATTTTTTTTTTTTTTGGTTTTTACGACTGAAGCCACCCCCGCGCCGGTATATCTGTTGATAACGTGGCTTGCTGGTAACGCATTGATAAGACCAACGCACGCGTTGCAGAGAACGAGCTTAAATGTTGTATACATATGTATGTATATATATATATATATAATATATATATGTACGTACGTACGTACGGGGAATTGTGGACGAAAGAAACCGAACAAGACGCAGACGCGTATTATTATATAATATATAGTTGCGTCGTTTTATTTACGACCCCGTTTTTATTGGTTTCCACCACGGACTCGGACACAGTCTGTTAGATCCAAACCTCTTTGATTTTGGTGTTTTCTCTTTTAATTGACTCTAGCGTGGTGGCTGCGGTATAGGAGACGGTCCTCGCGGAAGGGGATGGGATTAGTAAGTCCTATCGGGCGCAATATACACACTCCCACACATAAACTATATTTTATAGTAGGGAGTTTTCTGTCGCTATATTATTATATTAACGCTGCCGATATATTATATACCTATATCCCACACCTACTATGTACGAACGGAAACGCGCTATGACCTGATGAAAACCTATATCCCGCTTTCGCCACAATCACTACCGAACTGCGTGCACATAAACTATGTTATTATTGTGACGCGTCCAACTCGTGAGATTTATACTCTTTTAATATATAATATGTCTTTTATCGGAATAGTATAAAATGATATACGCGTCATTATTGCACGTACAGGGACGACGAAAACGAGTAGAAATAAAAAGAAAATCATGTCTTCGACAATAACGCAGGTCTGTATATAAATATATACATTTATATAAATTCAACAATAGAACCAACGGATAAAATACAATATTATTATGATATAATGTCATGTTATACGTATAGGACATAATATTAATATTTTATTATATCGACGAAGAGGTAAATAATATATTATACCGACGTATACGTCTAAAATATTTTTGCTCGACGTCATTGTTGTCCCTTTGCATATATAATATATGTATATGTATAAGCGCACATTTATTATTATTTTATTTTTGTTGTTCCGAACGTGGTCTTTTTTTTTTATTATAACGATTTGCTTTTATAAGCGCTAATATAAATATTGCACGAGAGTTATTAATATTTAAAACGATTTTCAACGTCTTGATATTTAGCAAATATAATTCTTGATAATTAACTTTGATCGACCTAAGGGTGCAATTTTTTCTCTTTTTCAAAAAAAAAAAAAATATATAAATAATAATAATAATAAACATTAAAGTAGATTAAGAATCTTCTAAATAATTTACATGATGTTTTCGGGGATTTAATAATTTTGGTATAATTTGCATAATAAAAAATATGATTTAAAAATCGACATTTCCCTTACAAATGTTTAACAGTCAAATAAATTATGTCAAAGTGTTATGATGTTGGGTTCACAGTAATAGCTTGCTCTTTTATTCAACCGCCCTTTTTTATTTTTATTTTTTTTTTTTTTTTTTGTTCAGAGCAGATTTGTTGTACTTTTTTCATATCCGACGGGGAGAAGAACTGCGGTTTTCGCATATTAATGTGCGGAATAAACGTACCTAAACGCCCCGCGTAAAAAAGTGTATATATAGTGAGAAAGGGAGTGAGCAAGAAGGGATGAGTTGCGGTGGAGAAACACGAATAATTCGTAAAAAAATAAATAAATACTGGTCGGAAACGAGGGAAAAAACCGTCAGATTTATGACTTCGGGTGTACCTATACATGCATAATAGGACGGGCATATTCCACATTCATTTGTTGGTTCAACGAAGGAAGTAAATAATTCAAATTGGCTGCTCAACAATGGGCTCTCCGAGTTTTTCTTCTTTTCTGCATTTACCAGAAATATTGATACATGGCCGGGGGTCTCGATTTTTATTATATAATTTTTTTTTACTCACTCCGACATAATAACATCATCTCGGAAAGGGACACGCGCACAATGCAAAACGCCTTTTATTCCATTCGCAATACTCTTTGTTGTCGAATTTTCATTCTCTGCGCGCACCGCAGTTCATATCACTACTATAATATGTAAATTGTACTCTCGCACGACATTACAACATTTGTTTATACAACAAGAATATCAATTGAATAGGTATATAATAATATAATATAGTATCTGATGTCGGTTGACTCAATTGAAACAAACATTTACAAACATTTATACGTAAATAATATATTATTGTGTTTCACCTTCCCTTTTTACGTTGATGCCTAACCTATGACTTATAATATATTTCGGTAGTTAAATCTATACCTACCCCGACTTACAGTTTATACTGTAAACGCTATATACACGCTGTAATGGCTAAAATTCTATTAGACTTTCGAAAAGTTAAGCCGGGTGATTTTAACAGCTGCAATTATACATACGGTAGCAGCGGAGTTTTATCAAGAAAAAAAGAGAAAACAAAAACACCTACAATTGCCCAAGTGTTTACGGTGCGGAACAAAGCTATCAACGCCTAACCCCGCCCGTTTTGTGTGCGTTACACGAAATTATAACAAGACGACGACAACGATGACACTTTTGAGGAAACGTGTTGCGGAACAAACAGACGATTAAGATATACAAGACATCCGTTTTCCGTGTAAGATACATATGTTTAAAATTTAGTATAAAACGAAAAAAAACAACAAAAACCCTCGACGAGTTCGTTAAACTTTGTCGTCGACCCCACAGGAGTGGAAAAAAATCAAAATCATCAAATCGTACCAAAAAATATACCCCGGGGAAACGTTATCTGAACAACCGAATCCGAACGGGTTTTCACGCTAGGTTATATTACAACACAATATATATGTATATAATAGAAATATAAACGTTTGTTATTATTTCTGCACTATCACGTGCCGCCGCTGTATCGATATACTGCCGCGCGTATTGTAAATATATGATGTATACTGATGTATACGTACGCGTACAACAATAGGAGGGCACATTGTCCGGACTCGCGTAGTACACCCTTTTTTTGTAATTTTTTTATTATTGCGTATATGTTATTATTCTTCGGAGTAAAATCAACACGAAATGCACACGCGAACGACTGCTGCACTGTACGACAATGACTCTCGGGCAGCACATATCGATAGGGTTACGGACCGTCGACTGTAACACGAGACGACTGCGTTCAAAAATAATAATAGTTATGATAATAATAATAATAATATATTACGAATTGAGGGAAACGCGTGTGCAAAAAAATAACCATTAAAAAAACGGCCAAAAAATAAGTTGTTATCGAAAAAAGATCGTTTGACTCGCGCTCGTCGAGGGTGCCGAGTATATTATTTTCGCACGTGTGGGGTGGGTCGGGCTATACATAATCCAATATTCCGACTGTTTTTGAGGCGACTACTATAAACTGGCTATTACTACTATACGTGTGTATATATCTATATACATACTAGTTTGAACAGGAAAACTAGATAAGAATATAATAATATACATTGTTGGCAACGATGTATTATTATTATTATTGTTATATATAAACGGGGACGGGGTTCAAACTCGTTTTGATTGATAGCCCTCCAACGCGCGTCTGGTCTAACTCCGCAGGCGTATACGGCGAATGGGAAACCACCACTTAGGACGGGTTCGAGAACAAAATTTACGAGCTCGCGAGACGGCGACGAGCCGATGGTCTATATAATATTATTATACTCGAAATTTGTATCATTTCATTTTTCCCCCGTTTAGCGTATACATATTATTATATATTATACTCTGCAGTCACACAAAACGGTGTGGTGACCACACAAAGAGAATCCCTTTCTGAAACCGTTTTCCCTCTATATCCCATGCTACTGTGCATCGTTTATAATAATATCGTCTGTGATAATATGTGTAGAGATTTAATTACGACGCAAACCTATATCGAAGAGCCGAACAGAACACGACGCAGGCCAGCCGCCTGTTGTATGCGTTCTTCTAAATTTGGTTTTTTTGATTTTAATGTTATA